CTACTGCCGGTACTACTCGCATGGAGGATAAATTAAACCTCGTCCATGAACACGTGAGACAGCTGTGGTAACTGATGCTGCTGCTGCTGAGGCTCCTCCATTTGATAGCTACTGGGTGCAGGATGTCCTTGTTATGTCTAATTCCACTGCTTGATCACTTATTGGCTTTCTTCTCAAGTAGCGCGGGCATCGTTATCCAAACACTTCTAGTTTTATCCTTATGAGCTATGTGATGACTTAATGTATGCCTTTGTTCAGGAGAGCACCCAGTCTAATTCCGCTTCTCTATCCCATCACCTCCAGCATAGCGGGGCTATGATGACCACATCTCAATTCTGAGGATGCAGCACTGACAATTTTGCTTTACGGTAACTCGCAGCAACGTGCTTGTTGATGGATTTCCAGGCGTGAGTTTCTTCTTTTCCGACCTCGCTTTTTTACACATCAGACATGTCACCTTCGTTCGGTCATGTTGATGAGAGAGAAACGTGTTGGTATTTGCAGTCATCATTTTAGGTCAAATGCGCCTAATTCCTATCAATAGCGAATAAATCACAAATGGTCATGAAGGGGGATAATCTATCAAGCCCTCATCTTACCCGCCTCGCTATGCCGTGTGTGCCCAACGAACCGAATGAAACGTCACACATCAATAGTGCCACCCTCCTATGATGCATTCAGCCTATAGCCCGACGCCAGAATCCAGAACAATGCACCCAAAAAAAACAAGGAAAGGAAAAACGTAAGGCAAAAGAAATGGCAAGACAAATAGTTCCAGCAGATATGAGACAGTCCACTTTCCGTGCTCAGCTCGAGATTGGAGAGGACCAATGGGATTTATCCAGCATTCGGTGTCGCCGCGGCGACTGAAGTCCACTCGTGGCAGCAACAGTTTGAGCTGAACAATTGCTGCGTCGCGCTGATTCGACAGGTCATTGTGATCTCGTGCCCCCGAGGCATATATGGCCATCACATGCCAGGATGTGGTGCAATTGTCTTGCTTCAGCCGCCAATAAAGGCCGATTATTAGGCTGGATAAATGTTTGCCTTTTTAGAAGAAGCCACACTCCTCGAAGTCGCGTACCATGACTGCGACCTGTGCCCGCTTTGCTGCCTCCGCAACAAGGGTAAAGTCCTTGAGGAAGGGGTCAGTTGACGGAGCCTTAGCCTGCGCGGGGGCAGGCACGGGGATGCTCGTCGAGCTAGGCGACTGTTGGGAGTAAGAAGAGGAGGCGGTCGGCGCACTTCCCGAAGCGTTGGAGTTGGAATCCATTTCGGCTGATGAAAAGATAGTGAGGAGAGTTGATTTATGCTGGTATCTCGTAGGTGGATTAAACGACAGAAGATTGAGTCCAAGGTGTGTGCTTCCGGCCTGCTAAATGACCGGGACGGTTTGGGATAAGAAGGGGGAGAGATGCAGTCGGGCGGGAACCGGATAATATATTTGTAGACGGCCAAGAATGACCAGCCCTCGTTTTGCGATGCGACCTGACGAGACTAGCGATCCGATCGATCTTTCATGAATCCGCCCGTATCCAGGAAGAGAAGGAGGCAGAGGCGCAAGCAAGACGACGGTAATTATGCAGGATGGTGGTGTCGTAAGAGCTGAAAGCTTGCGACCGGGCCTCTGAGAATCGACTGATTCGGAAGTGTTCACGTCACTTTAGCAATAAAACGCGGGGGGTGCAGCTTATGAAGTATTCTTAGTCGCCCCAAAAAGCAAGGCTTTAACGGGTGCCGTCAGAAGGGCGAGAAGCCTCGCCGGTGTACTCGTACTTAAGCCTAGGCCGGGCCTGGGGAAGAATGTCGATCTCGGGAAATGATGTCGAGGGTGCGCTAGCGGCCTTGGAAGCGTCCCCACAAAGTTACTGGAGCACTTCGGATTTGTTTGCGTGTAATCTGAAAGAGGTTGATGATATTGTGTAGTTGATGTTTGTGGCCAGAGGCCTTGTGAGGTTCTGGTTCACAGAGGGTGTGAAGAGCTCGGTTTATAATGGTGTGTAAGTGGGAAATGACCTTGCAAAGGATCCGCGGTAACTCTAGATCCTCGTCTTTATTGGAGGGGGAGCAGGTCAGAGCGAGGGAGGGTGATGGTGGGTTGGATCCTAAGGCTAATGCAGTCGCTTCGAGATGGTCCTTGATGGTTGCGTGGGGGTTGGCTGCTGTGTGAGGTAGCGTAGCGCAAGACACAGGGTTCGTCCGTCGGGCTTGGTGATGTACTGTGTTGCGGCTGCACAAAGATGCTGGATTGATTATCAGCGGTTGTAGCGGCTGGTAGTCTGTCTTGGTGGTGATCGTTTTCTGGGGAAAGTCATAGGGGTTGAGGGAAGCGGGATTTTGGGGGTGCTGCTCATGATATTAGTAGTCTCAGACCAGGAAGCCTCATGATAAGACTTTTGGTCTGTTTATTCCGTCCATATCTCAATGTCCCCGCCGGGGTGAGGAAGGCACGACTCGTCTGACGCTTGCCGATGGATACTGGCTACGGATACAAGATAGGCAATAACAGAGGGGGGCCTTTTCCGGGCCAAGCACCAGGGCTGACCACAGAAGCAGGAACTGAGACAAAGGAGTGGCTAGCGGCCAAGGTATCGTCCGGAGTGGGGAGTACATGCGAGGCACGACGGCCTGGCTGGTGATGGAGGGTGAAATCTCTTTCCCGACGGGTACTGGGTGAGTATACCTGGACGGCGAATGGGCAGCCAGGACGGGTGAGAGTACCTGCAGGTCTAACCGCTACTACCCATGGGGTTGCGGCCGTCCCCATTGAAATCCACGCGACAAGCTCCATAATGAGCGCCATCACTGTCATCCGTCGAGCCAGAAGATACCAAATCCGCAGGTCTAAGCGCTCCAGTCGCCCTCTGCTCACGCCTTCTTGCCTAGCTCTCACGAAATGCTTTGCCCTCGGTCCCTACATGCATGGCTGGCTGAAATAGACTTGAACTACTAGTCGGCCATAAACCCGAGGCCTGGCGCCGAGAAGACTACCTACATGGCCGACACGTCGGCTGGGTACTTGGGTAGGGATGGAGGCCCGAGGGTCAGAATCATACTATGTCCGCTGCAGAGCACCTCCACCTTATTATCGAAGATGCTTGCCACACGTGCAAATCATCGTTTCATTTCGGGCCTTCCATCCTGAAGATATCAGCAGTTGGGTCAAGAGAAAAGAAAAATTCGCTGCAATGGACCCTTGGTTGGGACGCCGAGATCGTTCCGGGACCAGTCTCCATCGCAGCTCCATTACGACCCTGGAGAAATAACGATACCCATGCCCGTTGCACGTCCCGCCCAATAGCCCAGCGCCTGGACACAGACAGACTCTCAATGTCTCGTTGGGCTTGGAGACTCTAGAACACATGGCTTGCTTTTTCTTTATTTTCCCATCCCATTACGGAGCGAGGAAAAGGCACCGCAGCCCTATGTAAAAGCTGGGGTAACCAATTGTCTCGGCTCGACTCTCGTCTCGAGGCAGCCGAACGGACATGACGTCTGGCGCGAGGCGGACCCTGGCCAAACAGATAAGCACTCGGCCTTGGGGCCGTCATTCTTGGCTACGGTAGGCCGGCATTAGCGATCATCCATCAGTCAACACGCAATGTAAGGTTTGCAGCGGCAGAGATAGCAGCATTGCAACCGCCGGGAAACCTCGGGAAAAGTCGAGTCTGTGCATCCTTGGTGTCCCGCTCCACCGCACGACCTTGCCCAAGACCTTCCAAATCCCGCACCTCATGATTCTACCAAGCAGCGCCATTTTAGATCTGAGTGGAGCCGGATCCCAAGCGTCTGGCAACCTTCTTTTTTTCCTTCTCGCATTTAAAAACCCGTACGAGGGTTGCATATGCAAGGAGAGGTGACCACCCCTGCCGGCATTGCGCCGGGAAGAATATTCCATCAAGGTAGTGAGCACACACTGCTTTGCGTAGACCCACCGTCTTGTCTGATTTGGAAGCACACACTACTACACTACAGAGTTCGCATTTCCGTCAGTTTCATCGCTTTGTTTTGGGCCATGTCAGTAAATTCCCTACGGATGGCCACATTCTTAGGGTACCCTTTGTTCCCATTGGCTCTGGAGAATTTGTCTCCGAAGACCTCCCATTGGCGGCTAAGGAGCAGATAAAAGGGTGACACGCACTGGGTAGTAAGTTCGGGGTAAAAACAGAAGTGACTAGTTGAGTCTGAAGTTGGAATAAACCAGAGAGTGATAAGTTGACTCAAATGAAAATGGAAGGGGCCAGTTGACCTCCCTTCTGCAAGCTGGAAATAGTTTTCCCTACCTTGGAGAAGGGTTCAAGCCCAATCCTGATTATAACAAACCTCGGTTTACCCAAAGTAATAAGCCATAGAATGTAAAAGAGGTATGTTAAGGTGTAGTCAGGATGAAACAAAGAATGACTAGTTGCCCTTGAGACAAATTGAATAGCGGGAGATGGTATGAGCTTACATCCTTACCCGAATGTGAAAGATGCAGGCCAGATTCTGGGAGGGGCAGAATATTTGACCACGAACTGGTTTCAGTTCTTTGTTGAGTGTCCGCCGGCGCTGGAGCTTTGTAGATTGAAAGACTGTAATGAGTGTTGAAACTCAGCATTTCAGGGCCGCCAGCTTCCCTGCTGAAGTTTTTAAAAGTCTTTCAGTCACTTGGTAACTCATCTCCATTGCCATACAGGTGTTCACTGACAATAGAAGAGTTTGGTGCGCTCAAGCCTTGCTACGGGACGAGAATAAAACCCCAATATTGGGAATCCAGGGATCCGATTGAATGATAGCTTATCATACTGATTCTTAATGCATGTACATGCAAGCTAAGACAAAGAGAAAGTCTGGGTCAACCCAAACATCTGTCAACCATTTTGGCTCATGTGCCACATAGTCCCCTTGATACATGTACATAGTGCCTGTATATAAGACTTTATTTCTCCGGTTGGCTCTTATCTTCATGACCTTTCTAGCGGGATCAATTTGAGCGGTTAGAAAAGCCTAGCCTCATGAAAATGTCAGGTGTGTTGAAAACAGCAGTTTCTGGGTCATGCGCAGGCCACGAACTTATTGTTGATCCGGATTGGGTCCAAGAGGAACAACTCATAATCAACAAACTATCTGCAAAATGCCAAGCGAACATCGCCGCCCTCAAGAGTCAGCTCCTTGAGCACACGCCTGAGGCTCTCCAGAAGCTGGAGGATTTCTTCGTCGAACCTTTAATCGTGTTTGACGGCATCCCTTACCAATGGTTTAATTTTACGCCTTCGATTCATGATCAGCCAAACGATCTGACAACCATAAAGAATATTCTCACGGGGATTATCGAGCTCACCCAGGAGGGTCCTGGTATTTCAGCTATCAGAATTTTCAATACTAAGGTCCTTAATAAGCTTGACTGGCTGCGTGATTCTCTACTTCGTTTTCTCAACCGGCTCGCTGGCCATGGTGGTTACATTCATCACCTTCCACAACCCGACAGTCAATTTTTGCCATCAAAATATGAGAGCCTAAGAAATCATGTGGAGCATTGGATTCTTCTGGGAAAAGGGTCTGAAAATATCCGGAGTCGTGAATTTAGCACTCTCCAGGAACGATTAATTGATGGCATTTTGCTTCGGAAGGACCGGTTTCAACGTGCTCAAGCGCACTACAAGAAGGTCATGGGTACCTCTACATTGAAGGGTAAAGGCCGGGAACAGTCACGGTTCAAGTCACCTATCCAGGCCGAATTCACACTTGATATGCATAATGTTACAGAATGTCCAGACATCACCGTCAATGACCCATATCGGACATGTCCATGCTGTTTCCAATCAATCCCGGAAAGATATGTGCAATCTCCGTACCGATGGAGGTGAGTTGTGTTTTGAATCACATTATGGCGTATTACCACTAACGATTGCGGAATAATAGGGGGCATGTCATCAAAAGCCTTCACCTATACACGTGTATTGCCGAAGATTGCTCTGAAGGCGACCAACTGTTTCTCACCGATATATCGCTCTGGGCACACATTCAAACCTGTCACTCCAGATGGGAATGCTCATTTTGCGATGCCAGTTTTTCCAACTCATCAAAACTGCGCTCTCACCTGCGTGGCCATCACAAAAGCCAATTCGACGAAACCGATGACCTGTCACCAGAGTATCATGTCTATAGGCCTGTTCTGGGCCTTCGATCATGTCCCCTATGTCCATTCACCGCTGACGAGGATTCATATGAACTAGTCACTCATGTGATATCGCACATGTACGAATTTTCTTTCAATTTCTTGCCTTGGATTGAGCCCTGTGAGGCTGGTGAAGCACAGAAGGTAGCTGGATGGATAGCAAAGTTATGCTGTTAACCTCTAGCGCAGCTCCAAGCCCTGCTATTTAGGAAAAGAGTTCCATATCCTCATCTGAAACTCAGAAAAATATCAACTTTCTACCTTCCTACCTCGAAGGTAGTCTTGACAATGGCGGCAATCTATTTTTATCTCATGTCCCTGGGAGGTTGTGTGGGCAGCCTCACTTCCACCTTCCTTTGTTTTTAAATATTGCGAAATCTAGGTGCCATATTCCAAAGATACTTGCCATCTTGAGCACACCACCCTCCTCGAGACATAAAGGCCATGTTGTAGTTGTATCCCGCCTTTCCTGGCATACGTTACTGCAGGTGCGTCGCCTGCAGCTGCTGCAACATCGTATCCCACATCGGCCAATCTGGAGTTGCCATGAGATGTAGCAACGGCCGCGACCAGACCAGGTCGGCTTGCGCTGCCGAAAACACGACGCCGCACCGTTCATGTGGCTTTTATTTTCCGAGGGGTCAGCAAGGAATAGCCGGCATGGGTGCATGTGTGTAACCGCTCGCCAGCCGTGTCAGTCCACTCGACGGCAAAAATCACACCATCTGCCGTGGCCGCCGGTTAAAACAACCTGAAGGCGGTGAGGTGATGTTCGTTCACTGAGATGCGGCTCGGGCTCTGCGGGGTCTATCTTGGGGGTCTTCGGGCTCAGGCCGCCCCACCTCGCCCATCGCTAGGCCCCTGCCGCCCGTCGGTCAGGGCCATCCTTGGGGCCTGGGGTAGGGTTCGCCGAGCTCTGCCGAGATTGGCTCTGTTGTGTGTGACGGTTGAGCACAAACGGGTTTCGGCCAATTCAACCTCCGGACCGCAAGCTTTCTGCTGGCACCACACACCAACCAACCCACGCTCAGTCTGTTTGCTCGCCCGGGTGTGTTATCCCACGTCGACGAGAGCGAGTCCGCGCGCTGGATCCGAACGTGATGCCTCCCGATTCGCGCAGCTGGGTCACCGTCCCTGCGCCCATCAAGGACCTGTTCAAACTCTTCCCCCTCCGCGTCTACGCAGCAGAGGAGCTCCCCTGCCGCGCTCCTCATCCCACCCGACCTCGCCCATCTCTCTATGTATTCACACTCGATGTTGACTGTGCTCGCCCCAGCTTTAATCCGTCATGTCTTAAGTGGCAGGTTCGTAGAAAAAATGCCTGGGTATCCCAATGTCAGGTACTGGTTAGCTAATCGTAGAATGCCCCGTTGCTTGTACAGACCTTCCTGAGGATCGCAGGCGTTGACGTCGACCTCGTCCCATCGAACAACCATGCCTCACCCTCTGGCGCGCTGCCCTTCCTCCTCCCTTCCTCCACAAACTCCAGATCGTCACCTCCCTTAACGGGTGGTAAGATCCAGAAGTATGCGCAAGACAATGCCGCCAACAAGATCCCAACGATAGAATCCAACCGGCTGGAAGCATACCGTTCCCTCATCGCGCAATCAATCCGTCCAGCATGGGTACCGTCTGCCCCCATCTCTTAAACCTTTGCGTAGTTCGCACCCGGCTAACCGTCGCCCAGCTCTACTCCCTCTACATTGACCCCTCCAACGCCTCCCTCCTCAAGACACTCTACATCCCGCCGTCACCCCTCCTCGCCTACTCGCTGCACCACACCCTCGTCACGGCCGCCACAACCGAGATCCTCAAGACCACACGCACGCCCTACGTCCGAACCGCCCAGCTATACGCTGACTCCGCGACCGCATTCGCCGCCCTCGAGACCCTCCTCGGAAGCGACGCCTGGTTCTTCGGGGCGGGCTCCCCGGGGCTCTTCGACGCAGAGGTATTCTCCTACACGTGGCTGATCCTGGATGAGACCCTAGCCTGGGGGAAGGACGGGGAACTGCAAAAGTCACTAGCCGGCTTCAAGAAGCTGGTCGCCCACCGGCAGAGGCTGTATGAGTGGTGTTGGTAGAAGGGGAAAACCACTAACCAAGACTATGACAACGACCCATCCAACTCCGATTGGTGCAAAATAGACGACGAATCTTGTACGAATATATTGAACGCTCTGTAAGATTATCCAGATGAAAATTGGGTGGTGTAGTGGGAAAATAGAAATGGCATATCCATCGGACGAACAGCGCGAGGATCTGCTGAAATATACATCAGTAATACAATAATCAGCTATACGTGGATTGTGTATAGTTGTCCCCTTTCATGCGGCTTTGTGGCATCCTTCTTGTAAATTGTGATTTACTATAACTGCGGCGTGACTAGAGACTTGAATTCTGCGGGGAGCCCTCATCATCCCGCCTTACTTGGGGGCCCAGTCAACCCGCTCTGCATCAGTGTTTACCGGCACGATCCATCGAGTCTAACCCAAAGACAAGTTATATACACAAGAGGAAAGAAAAAGCAGATCCCGGGCTTGGACATGCGGAACCAATGTGCATGCGGGATCATGAGGAAGGGGGGCGAGAACGAGCCCACCGCCGCCTTCTCCAGCTAAGGGACCTAACGCCCAGCCACGCCATTGCCAGGTAGAAGAAACCAACCGCTCCTGAGATGCGTTTGTGGTAGACAGGAGATAGATTCGTAATCAGACGCCCAAACACCGAAAAGCTTCCAAAGACGTCACCGATATCGAGAGAGAGAAAAGGGAGATGCGAATTCATCACTATTAGAATGTAAGTGCGGGGGGTGCCCACGTGGCGGTACCGCTTGGTGACCTAGACGGCTTGGGGGTTTAGAATTGATGATGTTTAGAGATATCGTCAACAATATCCTGGACAGAGACGAAAGCTCCAACTCCACCCTCTTGCCGCAGATCCTCCAAGAGGACCGTGGTTTGGGCATAAACCTTCTCGAGAGCGGCGCGTGATGACTTGCCCAGAGACACTAAAAACAGTCAGTCTTTTGATATCCGAGAAGTGGCCCAGCAGAAACAGTCGGGGGAAACTCACTTAGGATAGCCGAGTTGAGCTCCTCGGCCACGGCCACCCGACCCGACCTATCCAATAAATGGCTGAACATGGGTTCTTTGAGCGGGTTCACGTAGGCGGCCAGAGGGAAGATGTCGGCAAGGGCCTGGCTAACTTCTTTCCGTGGGTCATTGGCATACTCTGCCTGCAGAGTCTGGCCATACTTCAGCATGTTCCGCTCGAGCTCCTCAATCTCCGACGAGAGATGCTCCTCGTCTAATTCCATGTTCTCATCAACATCCATGTGCTGTGAGATCAAGGCCCCCAAATGGCCATTGTTCCTGGGCGTATCCATCGACAGCCTCATCTGAGCAGCTTTCCTTATCATCTCCACAAACTTCCGGCATCGCAGGCGAAAGTATACATATCCGTCGTGGTCCAGTACGTCGGGGTAGTACGTCTTTGTATACTTGAGAGCCCTATCGATGTCCCCTTCGAGTATTGCCGCCCGGATACCTGTTCTACTGTCAGCATCTACCATTTCTCGTCCGGATCTTTGAGGCTCACGCTGTCTATTGTTGGCATCCTCATCGTCCTTGATGCTGGTGCCAGCAACCTTGGCATTGGGATCCAACGATAGCGCTTCCTTTTCGACGGTTATTTCGTCCGCAAAAGCACGGGCCGTCTCCACGTATCCGTCGTGTTGGAGAAATTGCAAGACCAGAGTTTGAAGAAGCTCTGATTCGTTCAGGTCAGGGTCCAGATGAGACGTGGTGGTCCCCTCGATATCCCGTTGGATCTTTTCTCGTTGTTCCTAACCGCATGTTAGATGATCTTGTATGAACCATCAGGTCCCATATTCACATACCTTCACCATGTCGTTGATATTGTACACGAAAGGATGCTGGCCAAAGTTGGCGCGGATTGTTTCTCCAGGCTTCTTCAGACTTATGGCAGGATACAGCTTTCCTCGAAGGTCATCAAAAGCGCTTCCTGCGAGGGTGTGTCAGCCTCAAAACGATGACCCTCCCGAGTTTGAGCAAGGCTCCTTACCAATCTTGACGCCGTTTCTTGTGAAGAAGGCAGTGTTTTCGCGGAAGTTGACACCGCAACCAATAACATCTCCCTGGTTAAAAGCCGGACCAAAGTGTCTTCCCGAGTTGTGGGCTGTGAAGCATCTCCCGTCATCCCCATGATATGCCCAGGACTCAGGCTCCCAGCCGATCGATCGGGACAAGGTTGCGTTCTTTGTCGAGAAGCCGACAGCGATGGTGGTACTACAACGGGTTAGCGACCCTCAATCAATAGTTACTGTGGTGATCGACCGTGTCACCTACTCATCCTTTTTACTTGATACAATCTCTACCTCATAGTAATATATACCACACTGAGCGGGCATGTGGTTCTCGGCCCGAACAGCGCTGGCCTCATGATCACGCTCGTTATGACTCCTGGGCCCGGTATACTTCACAGTCCGGCCATCTGGCTGGATTTCGATATTGGACCACATATCAGATTTATTCCACTTTGAAGGGAGCGACGTCAAGACATCTTCGTCCTGGGACGACGATTGTCTCTCGATAATCTGATGAGACAGCCCTCTGTGGGATCCAGACGGAACGGGGTCTGGAAACGCTGATATGTCGGCCGCAAGGTCACTCCCAGCAGACCGCTTCGACTCGTTCTGCTTCGTCCTGTGCGCCTCTGCGAGTTTGCGCATGTATGTGGAACCTCGAAGGTACGAGGGTACGAAGAACCGGCCATCCAGGCTCTCGTCTGTGTCATCGTGGGCGAGAAACTGGCTAAAGATCCGGGAGTGGTGCTGCAGCGTGTCCCCTCTCCTCCACGCATCGCCTGATCCCACCATGTCGGCCGACACTCGACCGTCCAGTCCGTCCATGATATTATATCTGCCTTCGCGGTCGGGATCGACGTCCAAACCGAGCGTCATGCAGGCTGGCGGCTATGACGTCTGCATCCAGAAGCTAGGTATAGGCGAGCGAGGTGTTGGGAAGAGTGGTGTGGCGTGGGGTGACTCTATTCGTCTGGCTGGTGGTTATCGAGGTCTCTAGGCAGGTAGGTAGAGAAACACTGGCGTCGGGAGGGGTCTGGAGTGCTGGGTGAGGCAAGCGGTTGTCCTATCTGGCGACAAGCAGACCAGGCCAGGATCTCAGCACACAATGTATCGCGTGGACAATCAGCGACTGGTGGGCTACGCTCGCTGTGTAGCTGGGACCCGTTGCGGAGCTTCCGTAGGTCTGGAGCTGCAGCTGTCCGGATACAGCTCACAGGTTGGATGCAGTCTGTCTGTCGCTCGCCGACAGTATCCGCCGGGTCTCCGCAGCCGTTGAGCGGGATGGATGGTTTGTTTCGAAGGCTTCGCGAGAGTCGTTGTTATTGGTCGGCTTCGTGGCCTTAAGATGGGGTAGTGTGCGATGTGGCAGCTTCTGGGACGAAGTGCTGGGTGATCGGTCCCTCGCCTCGCCTGATGGATAGATGCGAGTAGTGAGAGGTATTGTAGGTATCCAGGCGTCACGTACGGTACATACGTCAAAGACCCGCAGACGGTCAATTACGGCATCACTGGCCCAGATAACACCAGGCTCGGCAGGCAAAGTAAAATATAGTGAAGTATGTAGCAAGGTCGGTGCCGTCGCTCTTTGCACTGGAAGCCTCTCCGAGTCTGCACCGTCAAAGGCTAAATGATGGGCAGCAGCAGAGGGGTTGATTAAGTTGATGAAGCTCCCTCCAGGTCTTGCACTGGACAAACAAGCTGGGTGATGCCACCCCAGCAAGGACTAACAGCGGGGTACATCACTGCAGCGAGTTTTGGGTGGTGTTGTCCCCAGCGCCTGTGTAAATGATAGCGCATTCTGTTAGTAGCGCAGCCCCTCGTGTGATCAGCCGAGCCGAGTTGGGAGGCTTTGGTGACTGAAGTGGACCTGGCTAATACCGATCGAGCGCCAGCCTGAGAGCAAGCAGCGAGAACATTAGATGCTCACATATTGGCGCCCATCCGTTCATACGTAGTTCGCCATCAGGCGGCCGATGACCCCTCCTTTTAAGGTAGAGAGGAAAGCAGGTTCTATCCCAGCAGCGCTTCTCCTCTGTCGTGCCAGCGCCCGAAGGAAAACCGCCTAACCTCCCTTATCACCCTCCACCAGACTAAGCGTAGTGCTGTAGTGTGGGTGAAGGCACCCAGCTCTTTCAAGAATCTCAGTATAGGCTTAATCTGCTTGGATTACTGGGATCAGTGTCGACTCTAAGCGATGAACTGAAATGCCATGTATCATTTTCCGAGTCCAAGGGGGGTAAAAATAACTCTTTCCTACTTCGCATGTTGCGGCTGTACGTGTTGATATCACGTTGGGATACAACGTCAGAGGGCTGGTGCGTCAGGTTTTATGTCACCCCATTGCAGGCACCGGATGTGCGAGTTATGCTTCCATTGTGAATGTGGCCCATCTCAGCGCTCAAACCTGCATCAGCGCCCGTCAGCGATTGGTTTGCCGTGACCAAACACGCCGCAAGGATACTACCGCTACGCCTTCCTGCAGGATCATAAATCAGTGTTGTCTCACACTATACGGCCCCAATCCAGGATGTCCCTACGAGGAGGTCACAAGCAAACATAAGAAGGGACTCGATGACAGTTCCGGCGCTTCCAGGACAAACTGCGCTCTGTCTCCGCTCTGATTTCAAAGCGACTCAGAGTAACCAGGCTGGATTCGACATCCAGTTCACTCCAGATATGCTGACTAAGACAATCATACTACATCACCAACGTCCTATGGCAGAGCAAGCCTGGTCTTTGAACTTGCCAAGGTGGTCATCTTATCGCCGCTTGCGTCAACAGCGCCTAGTTGATACCATGTCGAATCACGGCCTTCTGAGCATGAATTTTTTTCACTTTGAGCATGAAAATGCCGGCAGCATGATACGCAATGGGTCGTCTAGAAATTCGAACCTTCTTTGGCCTGTTAACTCCCCAATAATACAACAACCTTTCTAGATGCACCTCGTGATGTAGAACACTCAATTACTGTACACGGGATGATTTGATAGCCATAAACCCAACACACTTCCCATGTTTTCCGTCTTTGCCTGAAGACTATACTTGTAACCAAAACGCCAGCACACACACAGTGCCTCAATGTCCTGCCTGAACTCCGAAACAATAAAAAATAAAAACAGACGTCGCCCAATGTATCTAGAAAGGTAAGGGGAAACTGGAAATAAGGAAACTAAAAGGCCGAGATAAGGCTGTGGAAAGCTGGGCGGGTTGTTGAATCATGATTATGAAGCCGCCGCAATAGCCGCCGGGGCTGGCGAGGAAGCATGAACGCTGGGTGGCGCGCTTTGCATCTCCACGTCAGGGCCGATGTTGCTGTTGGCAGTGCTAATAACGCCGGGCACTTCTTCCTTATTCTCCTTGCCGCTGCTGTTGTCCGCGGATGGAGCGGCCGAGTCCTCGGTTGCGGAATCGGGGTTTATCTTTGGGGGGGCTGTCCATCGCGAAACCTCCCAGACGACGCCAGTGAAGCTCTTGAGGGTGAATCCTCCTCTGGCCCACTTGCGGCAAGGTTTGCCAGATCTATCGAGTGCACGAAGTCCGGCATTGATAGCGCCCTGGTTCGCCTTGGGGCCGAGTTTATGTCCGCCGGCTACTCGGTTCGACGCGGTCGCGTGGTCGATGGTTCCATCCTCACTATGTCTAGTTAATATAAAGTTGTCAACCGGGAGACGGAACAATGCTTACAGGCGAGGCTTCTTCTTGGGCCCGGGCTTTCCTCGTTGCTTTGGAGCCGAGTCTCCGTTGCCATTTGCGGCAGATCGCTTGACACCCTTCTTCTTGCCACCCTCTACAGGAGGAGCCAGTGTTGCCGGGCCAGGGGTTCCTTCTGGCTGTGGTGTCGCGGCATTGGAGTCGGATGCATCCTCGCCATTGGCGGTAGGCGCGGCAGATGGTGCAGCCTGGGAGGCTGGCGACGACTTGACTTCGAGAGACTCCTGCGCCGGGGTGCCTTCGTCGCTGGTGGTCTCAAGGCTGAGAAGGTCTCCGAGGGCCTTGGATGGGACCTTGATCGTATGGATCATGGTTGGCTTCTGCGTCCCTGACTTCCGTCGAGCAGACTCAGTCGACTTGGCGGCTGGCGCCATGATTGAAAATGTGGAAGTGGATTTGATTAAGCAGAAGCGAGATCGTTGGCGGCGATGATGGGCAGGGGAGGATGATGGAAGGAGGAGGATGGCTGCTGGATGGAGCACGGGTGATGCGTGGGGATTTTTGTTGGTGGGCGGTCGGGTACTCTGCAAAGCTGAGTCGCTGAGGCTATTTGGCGTACTAGCGAGCGACTCTGACTGTGGTGATCCAGAGCGAGCGCCTTGTCAGGGGTTTATCGATGGTAGGTGGATGCGTGGATCAAGACGCGATGGTGTTCATGATGATTTGGGTTGGAGGTTGTGATGGAAAGGAGGGAGGATGGCGGAGAGTTGGGGGTGGAAACGGCATCGAGGGAGGCAATTTCATTTTTGGGGCTTTGAGGTGTGGTCTGGCTGGTCTCAAGTTTCTTTATTTGCTGTGCTAGGAACGGTGTCAGTCAATCAATCCGGGGATCGCAGCAGCGAGCGAGGAGCAAAGGCCCTCATCATGCTTTCCGCCGCCAGGTCCCGGCCACCTGCAATACGCCTTTCCCAATCAGGACTAGACGCGCGCTGCACAAATCGACGGCACAACTTTATGCGCCTTTCCGTGCCAGCTGCCTCCAGAATTGCACGTCCTTGACGAGGATGCCAGCCTACCATCGACCGACCTTAGCAGTGTTTTGGTCACCAACCCAACACACGCACGCACGCAACTTGCAAGGTTCCGCACAACAGCCCCGTCACCCTCTGTCGGGGCGAGCGCTCGCCTAAGCTTCCAGCCATTTATTTCTGCATTTCCGCCAGTCCCTGCCCGCCCTGCCTGTATCGTCGCAGCCAAAGGGCAGTCAAGTCAATACGGCTCGCAGCAAGAGGCAGGCAGCGATGCGTCTGTGACGGACTGACATCAGCTGGAGTGTGGCGCCCCCTCTCTCTCTCACCAGTCACCAGTCTCCAGAATTGGGAGTGATCACATCCAGCAAGGGGCACGAGTCGAGACGCCCAGCCCAGCCCAGCCTAGTCTAAGGCTTGGGGGTGAAAGGATTTTTTCCCAACCCACCTGCTGTGTGTCGCCAACACCACCTGCAAAGGCCTCAGACAGCTCCAGCAACCAGGCTTTGGGCCGCGTAAAGAGGGGAAGCATATGCGTAGAGCCACCACGGATTCTCACCGCCCACCCGGCACGAGAATGAAGCCGCCTGACGCAAAGAATTCCCGATAACCACCCAACCAAAACTTACGTATACCTCGGTCGACAAGCATCCCTTTTCTTAGCACCACGCCACCTAGAAAAAGTTTCCACGTTATGGGTTAACAGCTGAAGCTTCCCGTAACCCACTCGCGCCGGCTGAATGGATCAAAGCCAATTCCTCTTCCATCGCATGATTCGGCCCGCCGTCGTAACTTGAATGAAGTATGCAAACTAACCGATGACAGCCACGAAATAGTTCTGGCCCGTATGATCCCATGTCAAGATCGACAGAGTAAATAGTAGACATAAATGAGCAAGTTCGATCATTTCCCTCAGCGTCAACAGGCACCGGATCACTGTGAAACTTGGTCAAGAGCCAATGGAATGCTGCAGACGATGGTCCCCATCAATGACGCTTCGAGCCGTTGTCTCCAAGCTGAGACAGCTTGATCCTTATCCGCACGATATTTGATAGACTGGCATGCGTTGCTCAGACGACCCAGATGCATCATGGCAAGTATATATCTTGCGTTAAATATGCGTCGAAGAGCCACTAAGTCGTAGTTGATGCATTGTTCTTATTGAATCCTTCTGGCTGAATTACATTTCTTGAATCGCGTCAACCTAGTTTTCAAGATGGGACTTCTGGATCTCTTAGGTGTCGGCCTCAACTTGGCGTCTCAACTGGGGAACTCTTGTCCAGCTCAGGATGGGGTTTCCGGCGCCTGTTCTTCTGTCCATGACCAGCCGTCTATGGAAACAACCTCAGAGATTGATGCTCTTCGTGCGCTCCCTTTCAACCAAAAGTTGAGCATCTTGCATCAATCTCTAGTCACGACTCGGAGCTTGGAAGACCAAGGCCCAACAGTCCCAGTTCCTGAGTCCCAACTATACGACGTACTTAACAAGATCAAGGCAATGGAGGACCAGATCAACCAGTTGCTAGCTTCTAAGTCTGCCGAGACAGAAGTTCCATCTTCTAACCCAGCAGATAACCATTCAGACGGTCTCGACCAAGTCTCAAAGTCTCCAGATCGCAAAACATCGGCAATTCCAGCTCAACAGCCGTCAGAGATCGCGGAAGGTGCATCAAATAATGATTCTCTACAGCAATCCTCTCCACCGAGCGGTTCCTCCAAGCTGAGTACTGAATCCGTTTCTAATTCTCCGGCTAATGAGAGCATAGGTCCCTCCAGCCCCAGCACTGAGTCTTACATCAGCACGTCTCCAGACAGTGAAGCAGACAGCCTGCCTGAGCAGGATGAGGCAGTCAACTTCGCCGGCATCTTTAAAGAGAGCTCTGAAGACTCCCATAACATGGAAGAGTTTGAGACTACGGAGATTACATCAACAATCCGGATCACCACGACGACAACAATCACCAAAACGGTCACTCAGTCATTTCACTTGTCAAATGTTCCGCCGTCAGCCTCAAATGCGGCAGTCGTCATCCATGCAGAGAATAGAGAAAGTCTCTATCCCACAAAGGCCCACGCTGTTGCTCAGTTGCAGGAAGCGACAAGCACCAAGTCCTCAGTATTGGGGAGTAGAGCCGCCCGGACTGACACCAAAACCCCGGCCTCCCCACACACGACGTCGCGGCAGCCCATGGAAGGAGGGGATAACTATCTTTCCGTTACAAAGACCCCGGGGGACATCGGTTCACGTCCTCCTGCAGCAAGTCCAGTGTCGGCTCTTAGCAAATACGCTATCGGCTTGGACAAATCCGACGGAATAGGATCTGTAACCCCCAGTGGATTCCGCACTATTACCTTGCCAGCCAACAACGGCACAAATCCAAACGGCCATTAGCATCACGACAAGTTCGGTTTTTTTCTCTTTTGAATGTTCAGTTTCTTGGGTCAGTACATGGGTAGTGGAATTGGTCATTTGTTTGCGTTTTAGGTTCCCTGTTCCTGAGCTGGATGTCGAGTGCCGGATGGCATGTTGAGCTCAGAGCGCACGAGATACCGGAATAGATAGTCATGTATGAGCGAGATGGGAGAGTGTGTGCTTAAAGAATCATGTTGTTTCTACAGTCATTACCTTGCCTTTGGTTACTTACTTCGGAGGTTGTCCTCAGCGTCTATTAAATCTTGGATTATTCTCTCCATTTTGATATACAGTTCAGATGAGATAAGTGTGGGCCGCATGGACTTCCTGGGAAGTTTCCACCTGTGATATGGGAAAAGGTGTATTACGAACCCTTCCGAGGGTTCCATAGTAATACTTTGCGGCGGCCGCTATGGATCTGGACGTACTGCTGCATGACGATTTCGCAGTTGGAGATCCCAGACTGGAATATTGCAGCTCTTGGAATGCGGTTAATCAATAATGCAGGAAACCTGCCTTTATTAGCATTGCCAGCTCCACTGGAGATCGCGCCAGTGTCTTGTCCCGGCTCCAAGATCTGCCCAGATATATGATATGTATGTATCCATCGACGTACGCATTGACTTGAGCTTTTAGGCTGATGTACGAAGCAATTGAATTAGTAAAATCGCCGGCGGGGACGGAGACGCGTGCTGACCAACGGCTCCGAGACGATGCCAACACACACGAGAGACGTAAGTACACTACACCCTCTTGCCCTCAGACCCTGGGCGGGCTTCAATCAGATCACGACACCCCTGCACAGCCTCGAATCGTAGAGGGGCATTGTACAGACCTTCTTAGACGGGACAGCGATGCGTACATGTACTCCACTCCGCAAACCATTTCCTCCCACATGCCCGCGGCTGGCCACCACCCAGGACCGAGTGGCAAACGATATTGCGCCGGAAATTGAATATTTGCAGCGCTGATCGCCAGCATCTGGCGTTGCTTCGATGGAGGAGCAGAGTCGGGGCGAGGCCCGAACAGCAGTACTCGGCGTCGTCTGATCTGTTTCGCTCTGAACGGCATGCCAGTTACTCCATTCTCAAGCGTCTTCCCGACTGGGTAGGCAAGTTACCCATTTGGTTCTTTGGTTCTAGGCCTACGGGGAGGTGAGACGAAATATGACATGCAGTTGGCTGGCAAACCGGCCCCCATCCCATGCCATCTTTTTGCCCTACCTGCTCCTCGGAGCGATGGCCTCGTCGCCTTGATTCGCAAAAGATGTCCATGCATCAGCCATTTGGTTCCACTTAGTCCACGTGCATCCAAACCAGGTACCAGGCCATTGTGGTGTGTGCTTATCTCAGAGAGCTCGGGGCCACCGCCAACGACAAATACGATGGGTGAGCATTCGTGAGTTGTGTGGGCGTTCTGCGCAAAATACTACTACATACATACTCTTGCCGGAACACCTTTGCTGGAGGCAGCATCACGAGAGCCGGCCATTGCCCCTGCCGCTCAACCCAGGACGTGTCTAGTCCTGTCCCCGTGCTGAGCCTTGTCTTGCTTCTGCTCTCGCTCTCTCGACCGCTCTCACCGAAGACCCTGCATGTGCTAGCGGTAGCCGCAGCTCAGGCCGCCGCTTGTGAATGATCCCAGGCGCAAAGTCGTGAGGAGGGGATTAACGAGGGTTAATTGGGAAATAATGTGCTCTTGGCCATCCACGGTCGATCTTCTTCCTGCTTTTCCGTCTGTTTTCCCACCGCGCAGACAGAGACACGGACAATGAGAGCGTCGGTTCTCTGGCCTGTGGCCGCTGCTGGGCTGGCCGCCGCCGCCCGACAGAGAATGGCTGCTTTCGACAACGACCTCATCCCGCGGTTCTGGATGGACCCGGCGATTCCTCTGCTCGGACGAGACGACACCTGCAGCTACGACACCCACCATAACTGTGAGTATCTTCTCTTCTCTTTCACATCCCGCTGGGTCTGATCTGCGGCATTGTTTCGCTTCTCTTGCGACCCACGCAGCGGCCTGGCTTCGGTGCGCTGCGGGCTGGGTTTATGCACTTCATTGTCCATCCTTTGTCCTCGCCTCGCAGCCTCACAAAGCCCCTCCCTCGCTCATCACATCTGCGCGTGCCGCTGTGTCTAACTCACGTCGTGTCCATCAGGCGACGACATTGGATTTAGTAATGTCTGCTGTCCCAACGACCACTACTGCTTCGTCAACAAGAACAAGGAGGCCAAATGTTGTTCCATCGGCTCCAACTGCACCTCAGACTCCAACTGCAACAGCCTCTCCTACTACTGCGCCAGAACCCAGACCGTCTCTGGCACGGCCACGACCCAGGACGGCTGCTGTGCCCGCGCATGCCCCTCGACCAGCTTCTTCCTCTGCCCCCAGGCTAATGGCGGCAACTGCTGCCACTACGGCTCCCAATGCGACGGGGGAGCCTGCAAGGCCATCGTGACGGCATCCTCCACCGGCGCCCTCCTGACGCCCATCCAGGAAGGCTGCACCACCTCCCAGTACAGGTGCTCCGACGGCCACGGATGCTGCGACAACAACCAGCTCTGCACCGAGGTCAGCGGAGCGGGCTACTGCGTTCCCGGGATCCCCACGCAGACCGACATCGAGTACATCGGCACCGACCCCAGCGCCGACAAGCTCTCCCAGGGCGCCATCGCCGGCATCGCGGTCGGCGCTGTCGTCGCCGCCGCCCTCGTCATCGGCCTCGCCACCTGGTTCTGCATCCGCAAGAAGAAGGAGCGCCGCGCCCTCACCCGCCAGACCGCCAGCGAGGGCCAGACAGAGGACCAGACCAACGTGGGCAGCATGGCCGAGCCCACCCCGTCCGCCAGCCGCGGGCCAGGCCTCACCCAGGACTACTTTGGCCCCCATCCCGTCCCAGGCCCCTTCACCGAGGACGCCGTCTCGCCCGGCTCCTCGCCGCACCTGCACCGCGCCGTGCCCACCGTCCCCGACCAGCCAGGCGACATCGCCGCCCCGGTCGAGATCGACGGCCGGTCCACCGTCGACGACGGCCGCTCGACCACCCGCGGCAGCGTGGCGGGGGGCCCGACGGGCATCAAGCTCGAGTCCATCCAGGGCCGCTTCGAGCTGTACGGGTCGGACCACATGCCCCCCGAGGGGCCGCCGTCCATCGTGCCTACGCCCGTGGAGATGAGGAACAGCTACTTTGAGCAGAATCCCCCCGAAAAATGAAGGACATGAAGCACGGGTTTGGCATGGTTGCTTTTTTTTAATGTTTGATGTACTCTTTTCTCAAATTCATTTTTAAACTTCCGGGATCGAACATACAAACGCCATAGTCTAGCCGTAGTAGGCTCCTTAATAAAATGAAACCAAACAGTAAAAAGAAAAGAGCAGCGCCTGTTTGAAAAGTGCCAAAGGCAATGAAAAAAAGCAAGTCTTGTGAGATATCATTAGGCGCAATATTCCGTTTTGCGCGAGACCAAGAAAAATAAAAAAGTGAATCCTTTAGACGCCGAATTTTACCATATGCCATACCCTGTGAAAGCCAAAGACGAATAATGAAATAGAAGCAAAGGAGAGACGAATATCAAAGAGGGCCGATATAAAGGCGGGTAAGAAGTGTTTTTTTACTCAAGGCAATGTCCAGCACGCAGTTTGCGTGTGTGTTTCGTTCAGCTGATGACGCCGCCAAAGGGCGCGCACTCCCTCAGGTCCCTGACGAGGTCCTCGACGCTGCTGAGGTGGCGGCTCAGGAGCTCCTGCTTCTCCTCGGTGGTGAGCATCCAGTCCTGGTCGCCGTCGGGCTGCTTGCGGGAGAGGTCCGCGGCCGAGAAGGCGCCGGCGAGCTTACTAGGGCTGCGCTGGAGCATGGCGGGCACGGAGTCGCGCTGGTCGGCCCGCGGGATCGAGGGCATCTCGGGCATGAGGTAGAAGTAGAGGAACTCGACGAGCTTGAGCTTGACCTCGCGGGCGGTGGAGCGCGACTTGAAGAGGGAGGTGACGGTGAGGAGGCCGTCGAGGGACTCGAAGGTGCGGGTGTTGCTCGGGGTGTCGATGAGGGCGACGACGAGGGTGAGGAGAGTCGCCGACTGGATTGCGGGGCAGTTGTACGGCTCGAGGAGGTCAAGAAGAAGCTGTTGAGGGGAAAGCGACTTGTCAATACATGTACATTGCAGAGACGGCATCAGGGCAGAAACCATGTGAATAAGACATGTTTCGCGGGATGCTACTCACATTCATATTCTGTTCGCGGGAGAACAGAGACCTGCTGGGGGGGTGCAGGAGCAGCACGCCCTGGATCAAGTCAAGGGCACTCAGGATGAGCAGATCATTCTGTCCGTCTCCCCCCTTGGCCATCAAGCGGTCCAAAGTGCCAATCAGGCGCATGGCCACGTTCCACTCAAACCCTTCCTGGAGCTTGAAGAACTCGCGGAAAGCAGGGTCCCGCGAGAGCTCTGCAAGATCCTTTCTCGAGGCCGCTGCGCCGTCACCCTCGTCACTCCCTTCCTCGTTACTACCGTCCGACCCAGTACTACGTGAGCGGCTGCGGGCACTGCGCTGAGGCTGAGGGCCAGAGAGGCAGATCTGCGCCAGGAGGCCTTCTACTTGGCGCAGGCCCTTGCGGACCTTGACGCCGTCGTAGGAGGAGAGATTGTCAAATGCGAGGGAAAGAAGGGCTTCCATTATGATGATTGTTTTTTAAGTCTCTTGCGAGGTGTGAGAAGAAATTGGATCCGTTGTTGATATCTCGTCGGATTCAGAGACAAGTTGCGAGCGAGACGAGAAACGAGCACGCAGCGGGGGAAGAAAAGCACAAAAAGTTGGATGCCGTTGAAGGCTGCGCGGGGGGCGCGAAAAATGTTAATACAGGTGGACGAAGAGGAAATGCATTGGGTATCTGGTGGTTGGGCCTGGGCTGAACACAAGAAAGAAGAGGCAAACAAGGTTGATGCGACAGGTGCGGTTTGTATATATTGATGGTTGATGTTTCGCCGCCATCGCCGCAGCAACCAGAGCACATGCGCAAGGACCAGGATTGTGGGTTCTGACTCGATGCAACCACTTAAGGAACCCGCTGCATAAACCGGACTTCGGATTTATCCATGGCAGAATTATGCATCCCTATGGAACAGACCTGTTTTATCACATGGAGCTCCCTACTTGGTCAACACTCTTTTGTTGGGCACCAAGGAACCCATTTTCTGTACCTGCCCTGTACTATCACCTAGTGCTGGAACCACTGGACGATTCTTCTGTCCGAGGATGATGTCCCCTGCATCCGCCCGGGAGAGGGCTCGGTACTCAGGCCATTGGAATTTGTCGTAGACACAATTGTTCCCTTGGCACTGAACACATTACAGTAAAGACACCCACGCGCCAGCATCTCCACGCGGGCAATTCCAGATCGCTCGGTTCGTCGTGCAATGTACATAGTAGGCCAGGCTGACGACGCTGCCATCAGCGTCTCCTCTAGGCAAGACGTCCACGCTAGATGGTAGTTCCGCATGCCTAGTCCTCAAGGACATGCCAATCGGATCAAGGGCATGTTAGAATAGGACCTATATGCCATGCGAATAACACAGGGCCTGAGACCTGTCCAAGGTCATGTAGGCATAGGACTTGGGCAAAGCCGGCAAGGTAGGACTAACCAGGCTCTGGCATATGACACCTCTAGATTGGGCTGGGTAGTTCAACATAGCTAGGTACCTAGGAATTGCTATATATAGCACACAGAAGACCAATGTTAGTGAACTGCCAGACCGGAGAATTGACGCAACGGCCCTGGGTAGTCGGAGGCCAGATAAGAGAGTACACGTGTTAAGAAGCAGATATATACCATTGACGGGTTCTCGTGCATGATCCGAGAGGCCGTGAGGGCATCTGCAGGCGTCATTGAATCTGCAGGCACCAGCAAAACCTTACTGCCTTGGGGGCTGAGACTGGTATCGGCAGAGGGTCCAGGGTCCAAAACTGCCACCTAAGGCGGTAGCTCTGCGGGGCTCCCCAGCTTGTGCCGCATCTACTCGTCATTCAACCCTCGACCTGGTCTCTCCAGCCATCGGGAACCTCCTCAGCATCGTCACGGCCGCCTAACTTAGCTTCGCGACGTGCCTGGAGGACTTCGACATAATTTCATTTATTCCAGTATTTATCAGCGCTCCCGGCATATACGGCATCTCGCTGCAAGCGCTCTACCCCTCGAATATATATCCTCTACACCTTTCCTTGCCACAAGCTCTAGTCTCGAGCCTGGTCCAAAAGCATCCCCACGCTGACCCCGTCTAAGAGAAGGTCCCGCCTCATCATCCATCCGCAAGATTTTACCCACGCCACGGCTGTTGGTTGTAGCCTGAGTAGTGCGACGCTCATCCTTCGCATAAGAAATCCACCTTGTTCGCCCACTATTGGCTTTCTAATAATGGCATTCGCTTCCCCCAGTGCCATCCCGCCCCGAAGATCGAGCACGGGGCACTCTCATTCGAATAGTCTTTCCACTCCTCGCCAACTACTTAAAGCTGTGGATGAGGCCAACTGGCTTGGCCAAAAGCAAGACACCGCTTCTCCCAGCACTCATCAGCAAGAGACAACTCCCAGCATCCAGCACCCCCCACCCAGCTCTAGCCTAGACCCGGGACGCTCACAGGCCCCATCCTCCAATATGTTTGAGAACCTGCCTCTCTCATCAATCCCCAACTCGAACATACTTGAGAAGCAGCATCTCTCATCATTGGTGGCCACTGCCCCCTATGCCCCCCCTCCCCCTCCGGATCCAAACAGGTACCGCAATGAAGACCTAGACTTCGGTCCTGCGCGTTCATGGACTGCCGAGAAGGAGGCTGTTGTGCGTGCGCCGTATGACTATGTAATCAGTCATCCTGGCAAGGACTTCCGAGCCCAGCTCATCGGCGCCTTCAACATCTGGCTTCAGGTGCCACAGAAGAGCCTGGATATCATCACCAAGGTCGTTGGCATGTTGCACGAGTCTTCGCTTTTGGTGGACGATGTGCAAGATATGTCGGAGCTGCGCCGCGGGTTTCCCGTAGCCCACAACATCTTCGGCGTGGCACAGACCATCAACTCGGCAAACTACATCTACTTCTCGGCACTTGTGGAACTACAGAAACTGGGCAACCCCAAAGCCGTCGACATCTTTGCCGAGGAGCTGGTCAACCTGCACCGCGGCCAAGGTATGGATCTCTACTGGCGGGACACCCTTACCTGCCCTACAGAGGATGACTACCTCGAGATGGTTGGGAACAAGACTGGCGGTCTGTTCCGTCTGGGCATCAAGCTTATGCAGGCCGAATCCGACTCGGACATGGACTGCGTCCCACTTGCGAATCTGGTCGGCCTCATCTTCCAGATTCGCGACGACTATATGAACTTGCATTCACAGGAGTACAGTGATAACAAGGGTATGTGCGAAGACTTGACGGAGGGTAAATTTTCCTTCCCAATCATCCACAGTATCCGAACCAACCCAGTAAACCGCCAACTCGTCAACATTCTCAAGCAGAAGACCACCAACATAGACATCAAGAAGTACGCCGTGACCTACATGGAGAGCACTGGGAGCTTCCAGTACACACGCGATGTGCTGGCTATTCTGCTAGAACGGGCGGAAAAGACTGCGGTGGGCATTGATGACGGGCGTGGGAAGCTGCATGGAGTCCGAAAGATATTGGCCAAGATGGCCGTTCCTAATCCGACCTCCTCATAAGCGTTGTTTATAGGGGAAATCGTTTTTTCTTCCTTCTTCTTCTTCTTCTTCTTCTTCTTCTTCTTACTAGCTTTCTTCTTGGCCTATTAATTTTTGTCTTTACGCTGGAGCGGTAGGAGGATATGCAGATACCAGGTGTTATTCGAAGCCGGACATTTTCATTAGTTCATATGACAGCGATGAAAATATGACCTTTCACGTTTCAACTTCATTATGCTTCTCTCTCCCAATGACTCTTCCTAAATCAGACATTAAGTGTCCCGCTTGGGCGTACACTGTGTTACATTGATGTTCCTGATGATCGTACATAAAATATGTGAAAAACAACGCTTATACTAAGTAGCTCTTTTTAAACGGGCGTCTCCAGCTCTGCTTTTCTCTTCACGAGTCGAACCCATCTTCTCCGCCTCCATATTCCCCTCTGCCCTCCCCCGTCCTCGCCTTCCTCCCAGCTCGTCTGGGGGAAACCTCTCATCGACCCCGATTTCGGGGCTTCGACGACGCCGAC